TATAGACCCCTGCTTTAGACCATACAGAAAGAAGTTAGAAGAAAATGTTAGAAGTGCATGTTAGTTGCTGTTAGTTAGTTCAGTACTGCAAAAAAGAAAGAAGAGCAGATAAGAGTTGGCCAGTTTGCAAACAAGAACAAAAGGAATAAAGAGAATCCAAAACTTTGAGGGCTTACAGAATTGGAAGAGACAACTGCTTCTTAACTCAATAAATAAATATGAAACTGGGAGGACCTTTGAGTGACAATGGTTGATTAAAATTAAGTCTTAGGGCCAAGATCAAAATAAGGGCACAGCCATCCCATCCATTGTTAAAGCCTGTAAGTAGATTAAGGTGTCAAGGTCCAGCCATGGCAGTGGTGCCCAGGAAATCCTTTCAGTGGATCAAAATAGCTCAAGGTGTTGCTATCCCATTAATATCTGATGGGATTAAAGAAATTGAAATTAACTCAAGGCAAGAGTCGGAGAGAGAAGAGAGAAACAGGGGAGGTGGGAGTGTGTGTGTGTGTGTGTGTGTGTGTGTGTGTGTGTGTGTGTGAAGCACATGTGTGAGGAGGAAAAGAAATATAGCAAATTTAAAAAGTATGTATAGAAAAGGCTGTGGCTATGGCTATTCGTATTTGGAGTTGGCTGGAACTGAATAGATACGAAGCTAAAATTTTGAGAGTTGTACTGACAATGGAGCCATCTGTCTAGACTAAAATAGACTGTTTGAGACTAAAAATGACCCTTAGACTGCCAAACATCTATGGATGTAGATCATAGACAGAAAAAACTGCTTAGTGACTAAGGAGGGTAGAATCCCAAAAGCCCATTTCAGGTGTGGCCAAGGAGGTTAACTGAAAATGCAGAGCCGCCCAGGTGGTGGAGCCGAGCAGGTGGAAGCAGGGCCATATCGGAAACACCCCCCACTCCTGGGGGTGTCCCAGAAGCCCTGCAGTGTAGTCACAAGTAAATGGGATGTTTTTGGTACTCCCGTTAAGATAGGGAGTTTAGCACAAGTTTAGTCTCTCTTCATCTTTTCCATCTCGATTTATCTTAACATAATTTGACATTTTAGATCCAGGTTTCTATGATTATTTTTTAAAACCATCATCGTTATGTAACTTGCTCTTCCAGAAAATAACACTGACCTTAGTGTTCAGCATTGTACTCGGAACTGAAATAATTATTAGACATTACTATGTTTACATGGTGTCAGAGAAAATTCCAGTCTTATATCCTATTTTTTTTTATTTTCAAGCTCTTAATTTTTAAAGTTTCTTTTAGTAATTTTTTTTTTTTAAGAAAAGGGAAGGGACTGTGTCTGGGCAGCTGTGTTGTTTCAAGCACAAGATACAACTCTTAAGAGTTCTGGGTTTTTAATCTCCACACCCAGTGATTCAGTGTGCAGCCTTAGGCCAGACAGCTTAACATATCTGTTTCATGTCCTGAGGACGAAAGGATATTAAAACTTTTTGGCCTCTGAAAGACTTTGTACAAAGTATTACCTGATGCAAACAATTATAATACCTGTGCAATTATTGTTTCTTTGAAATAGACACCATCAAAGATTCAGGATAAGCCTATGGCAAGGAACATACAGAAAAGTACATTTCATTTACACTGAACCCCTCCAGCATATCTGGGCTCAGTGGAATTCGACCATTTGGGCACAAGTATTTATTATAAGCTTCTACTGGAGTGAGCTCTGTGGCAGGTGCTGTGTGCAGAAGCTGAAAGAGTCGGGGGTTTTGTTGCCACTCATAAGCCCATGGGCAGGGCCAGCCTCGGGCAGAACTGGATGTGACCAAGGAAGAATCCCTCTCGAGGTCTTTGCCTCACCCAGAGAGGGTGTTGACTTGGCTGTTCCAGGTCCTGGAGAGTCTGGTGTCTGCCATGTCTACATCTGCCCATGCAACTGCTCCGGAGTGAGAAAGTGGGATCTGTCACTTTTCTAAAACCTTTGTGCTTTCACGTTCTTAGCTGAATTCATTTCCCATGGACATGTAACATGGATTCAGAAGTAGTCTGTTTGACCATGTGGCTACAGCTGTTGTAGGGCAGCGGTTCTCAAAGTGTGGTCCCCAGCGGCACCATCACCTTGGAACTTGTAGAAATACAAATTCTGGGACCCTACCCTAGACCTGCCAAATCATCATCTCTGGGGGGGGGGGAGGGAGAGTACACCAATCTGTGTTTTAAAAAGTTCTCTAGAGGATTATGATGTGTATTGAAATTTAAGAACCATGTTGGAGAGGATCATTTGTCAGTGGGAAGTCAGCCCAACACCATTAAAAAAAAAACACAATGAAAACCAAAACAAAATCTCTTCCTCTTTGCTTGGAATTACCCTCACGAGATGGTGTCTGCAGCAATGTGGAAGAAGAGGGACATGGTAACAAGGAGTCTCCCCAGATGTCTTCAGACTGCTGAAGGAGGGTTGATGTGGGAGCAATTGAAATATGAACCAGATTCAAATTTGAATTCCAGCATTGCCCTTCTGGATTGGTGTAAAGAAAATAGGAACTAAAGGTGGAAATTCTCACTTCATTTCCAACCTATAAAAAGAAACTGAATATGCAAGGTAAAAAGTTTGAGCCTAGTTCCATTGACAATAAAGAGTAGATTAGGTTTTAAGCAGGGGAATGAGGTGGCCGGATTGAATTTTTAGAAACTCAACTCTGGTGGCAGTTTGGGAGATGATGTGGCATGTGTGGAGAGGCTGGATGCAGGGAGACCAGGATCAGGATACGAAGGGGAAGAGAGGGCAGGGGTGGGAGGCTGTGGTTCTGGCTCAGGTGAACCAAAGGCGTAAGGATCCCTGCGGAGAGCAGAGGTTCCTCCAATTCCCCAATTCCTCCTCTGTTCCAGGATTCCAGGCTGTTCCACTCACCCACACGCTACATAGCTGATGCCCTTTTTCACCCCCCAGAAAAACTCCTAAACATCTTTTATGATCCAGGTCAGCTTTTCCTCATCTCTGCAAATCCTTCCTCATTTCCTTCCATTGAGTTCTTTCCTCTGAATTCCACCAGCACTTTGTCCATATTTTTGTTATAGACAGATGCATCAATGTTCAATTTTTATCTGTGTGTTTACCTGCCTATTTTTTTCTCATTGTGAGGCTCTTGAAGGATGGGGATAATATTGACTTGTTCGTTTATTCAATAAACATCTTTTAAGCACCAAGTTTGTGCCATGAACTATTCTAGACAAAACAGTAAAGATCCCTGCCACTTGGAGGAGGGAGATAGGAAAAAAAATGAAGCATAACACTTGATAGGTGTTGTGACAGGAAGCAAAGTAAAGCGTCCTAAGGAGGAAGTAAGTAGTGACTGTTTGGGGCTGTGCTATCTGACACAGAGCGTCAGGAACGACATCCCTGGCAAGGTGGGTCCTGAGGAAACCCCTGCAGGCAGGAGGGAGTGAGGGTTGCGGATATTCCTGGAAAGGGGGTGGAGAGTGGGCTTGGCTTGTTCAAGGGATGCACGTGGAGAAGAGCAGCGGTAGATGAGGTCACAAAAGAAGTGGGGACACTGGTCATGAGTGGACTGCAGGCTGTTGTTATGATCTGGCTTTTACCCTGAGTGATCTGGAAGTCATCCATTGGCTGTTTCGGGCAGAGGTGTCATAATCTGACTTACATTTAAAAAATATCATTTGGCTGTTACCCTGAGAATAGAGCACGGGGACTAAGGGTGAAGCAAGGAGTTGAGTGACCGGACGACTGCGGTAATGCAGGCCAGAGATGGTGGCAGGCACTAAGGTGGTAGCAGTGGAGGTGGTGAGAAATGAGATTCTGGAGTTATCTGGAAAGCCATAAGATTTGCTGAGAGCCTGGATGTGGAATACGAAACAGAGGAATGGAGAGATTTGACACTTTTGGGTTTGAGACTGAAAGATGGAGTTTCCGTGTGTATAGACGGGAGAAGCTCATCTCTAGGGTAAGCCACCAGGGTTTGGTTTAGCTAAGTCTGAACATGATAAACATCACGTGGTGATGTGAGTGAGCTTCAGAGAGAGGCCAGGTCGAAGGCCTGAGACCTGTGATGGGGCATTGTCAGTGCACAGGCTGCATGGCATCCACAAGCCCAGATCCCGTCCAATGCACCTGCCACTCCCGGCGCTCAGCACCATGTCTGGCACAGCGAGTTGTTCAGTACGTACTTTCTGAGTAAGTGAAAGAACGAGTAATATGGTTCAGGTGAAAAACCAAACTTTTATACAGAATGTCAGGACTAGGCAAAGACTTAGCCTGGCGATAGGAGTGATTGAATTAGAGACTAAACACATCATCTCTCTGATTAATTATTAAAGTGTCCATAAATGTTGCAAATCTCTTCTGCTCTTTTCACCCATGTCTGCTTCTCATTCTCCTGAGTGTTTTTATAGAATTTTATATGTTTACTATAGAACTTATTCTATGTATTCTTGATAGACTTAATAGGATACAAAATTATGTATAGTTCCTGACTTCTGTTATTCCCTCTTTTTCTCTTCATGCCACCACCCATACCCTAACAGAATCTCAAAAATGCTGGAAACAGCCTGTTACCTCAATGTCCATGACTCATTGAATGTGGCCCTCCTGAAAAGGGTTTCCGATGACATTTTTCATGTTAACTTTTTCTAGATCATTTGAAGAGATACTTTTTCTTAGCCTATGCTTTGATGCAAAACCATGAATTTGTCAATTGCAAGTAGCTGACAAATTGTGTGCTTACTATAAAGAGACGCCTAGGAATACTTGGTGTAACAGCGAACATTTGTCATGTTCTAGAAACTAAACCTGCACTCCAAAAGCAAAGCTTTACACAAACCACTTGATCTGAAATCTCTGTTAAACAAATCTTCAGTTTTGCCAAAGTATTCACATATAAGAAATGTTGGAATTATTAATATTAGACAATTCATTGCACTGATCTAGTCTGAATTGAGGGAAAACACTTGCATGTACCCAGCCTCCTAATTATTGTGTGCCACTGTTTGCCTCTAATGTAATGATGAACACAGGAGGATTATTCTTTAACAATGACTAAAGTGAGAACAAAGGAAAGAAGGGCAGCTCCACAGACACTTAGCCAGAACAGCACAGAAAGTGGACAGGGGTCACAGGTCAGGACACGAGTCTTCAGAGGCTTGCTGATCCGCATTCTCTGGGTCATGATGGCTTCCCGGGCCCCTGCCCACTTCCCTGGACCCTGGAGGCGGTACTGGTATGGTGTGCATGGTCCAAAGAAAACTTCCACGGCCAGCTTTGGATCCCACAAGAAGAGTGAGAGCAGGTTGGGCTTCACTCCTATTTCAGAGGCAATTTCATCCATGTAATCCACATACTGCACCCTGAGTCTATTAAGATCATTCAGTAATCTGAAATCAGAAAGGCAAAAATCAGAAACCCCCAGCCAGATGACAACTTCTATCCCTGCAAGCACAGTTTCCTCCAAACATTGGGTAGACCTTGTGTGAGGGAATCATCTCTAGGGAAAAAAAAAAATTAATAGTAACTAAGCCATTAATGATTTCTCCAAAAAGTAAGAGATAAAATGAGTTTCTCTGTTTGCAGCTATCCTGGTCTCATTTCCCCCTCAAATCCTTTGAAGGGTTTTTAGATGGTAATAGGTGGGTTTCAGAAGATTTTTATCTTATCAATAATATTTTTCCCCTTCCTAAATTCTGTATTTTTGCCATACAGTTGGCTCTCCTTCAGGATATAATCTCCTCTTGCTAAATCAGTGGTGAGAACTATGCTATATGATTCATATAGCATAGTCCAGGCCAGTTATTCAGGTATATGTGACAGTAATTTGATTTTAAGTATTACTGAAATGCAATTCCTAGCTCACCTTAAATCAAAGTTACTTGGATAACTGACTGTTCTTAGCATGTCGGCCCTTTGATCTTAGGGAACATGTTGTGGCATTCACTTTGTAGATTCTCAACAGATATTTGTCGAATAGAAATAAATTACGTTCCTAACTCCAGTGGTTGAGAATAGTTTTCTGTTAAGATTTGGCACAATCTACAAGCTTCTGACCTCATATCAGAATTTTATTTGAATTCTATAGTGATTTGACAACTTGTTTCTCTATATCTTTCCCGTTCCTTAGAAGAATGAAACTATCCTTCATTTCATCTTAAATTTTCAAATGCCTTAAATCTCTAAGGCCATCATAAATTTGAAATTGTGTGCTATATCTGCTGTTCGATGGCCTTTAAAAATAATTCTGAAGTTTCCATGGTGGACCATTCTATTCCATTTCACCCCTAACACATTCCATATATAATATTATGCATGGTTAAGAGGAAATATGAAAGTTGATAATTTGAGAACTCATTTTCAAAAATTGACCCAGATTTTATTACGGGAATAATACAAAGGATACTTGGTAGGCAAACAGCTCTGCCTAAACACTTTCAACAAAAAAAAGTTTCTTACTCTTTTCCAAGCTTTGCTCTCTTCTTTCTTATGTCAGCCAACCTGCCACTCACTGAAGGTAGTTTGTTCAATCCTAGGAAAGAAATTCCAGATTTGAACATGTCTTTCTTACTGAGACGATGTGGTTTCAGGAGGAAATAAGTTCAATTTGGCAGAGAACGTCATGAGTAGGTAGCACAGGTGTGGAGGAGATGGATCCTGGAGTTGCTCCAGACTGCCCTCCACTCATGGTTTTCTCAGGGGCACATGGTCACCAGATGCAGACACATGTCCTTGTCACATATCTGAGGGGTCCACATCTTGATGAGCAGACCTTAGCACTCATGAAGAAGAGTGAACCAAAGGGAGTCTCACCTAACTGATAAGTCCCAAATTAGCGTGTTTGTGGTCCTATTAACCGAGTATTCACCTGGTTCTCCTTTCAGTAGTGAGTTATGCTTATTCGTTTATGTTATGGCTTAGTTTCCAAACATAGATTGTAGCTACTAATGGGGACTCAATGTCTCCTGATTGTTTTCATTAAACAGAGATTTATTCCTAGTTTCCTATCTTAACTCATAAGAGGCTCCCTCCTACAGTTCGCCTTCATTCCTAAAACAGGTGACATCCTGTATTTTGAGAAACACAGAATGTTCCAGGAAAATATGGAGAACTTTTTGAAAGAAAGAAAATGAGATAAAAGAGTAGAATTATTACAATATGATTGGAATCATTTCATAAAGGTAGGTTTTGAATCTTTCTTAACTGGTCCATTCTTAAGCTTACAATAATAGTAAAATAAAAACAAATTAATAAAGGATTACAACAATGGTTAATCTCCATTCATTCTATTAGTATTCACTAAATGCCTACTGAAGTCAAGGTGCTTAATTGTTAATTCTTACCACCATGTAACATACATACAAATCTTCCCATTTTTACAAATGAGGAAATTGTGGAGGTCAAGTAACATATTAAAATTATGCAGCCAGTATATGATGAAGTTCAGTTTTAATTTTTTAATAATTTGATTATAAAGCCCTTAAATGTGCTGTAGTGCTATTCCAGTTGCTCTGTGACTGCATATTTACCTGCTTGTCCTCTTTATGCTTTGAATGGACACTTGAGAAAAAATACTCCTTTTGATTTTTGCTCATTCCAGGATGACTATAGCAATGTAGGGAGGTAGTATGAGTGTTATCTCTCTCGTATACTTCAGGTTGAAATCTTCTTTCTCTAACTGCTCTCACTTCCTATACTATATACGTCCCTGTAGTGCTCTAAAGAATTATTTGCCAATAAGTTGCTATTTGATAATAACTTAAGATACTAGTTTTTTTATTTTTCATTTTCACACAGGAATCCTAAATAGTAAATAAATAGCTATGAAACAAGGAAGAAATAAATCTCAAATGGCAAGGTTTCAGACATTGCAGAGGTTTTAACTTCAGAGATGTTTTGCCACCAAAGACCTTTGCAGTGCCTCTTAAATCTAATGGGTACCTTTCCTAAATATTCATATAAGGTGAGAACATACCTTTGAATACACGTACAGCCCATCGGCTCTGGAGTTCTGAAGTGGGAATGGTGGCTCCCACTGGCTTCAGGATGCCAATAAAAGCTAGCGTTGGCTTCTCCAGCTGAGGAGGGAATACAAATTTAAACATGGAGAGCTGGCTGTCCAGGATTTTCGAGTCATCCTCTAAGAATGGGAGAGAGAAAGTGTAGCCTGTGGCAAAGATGATGACATCAATGTCCTCTTCTGTGTCATCTTCGAAGATGGCTGATGTTTCAGTCAACTCCCTCACATTCGGTTTTATCAGAACTCTTCCGGAAATTAAGTGATTGGGCAGATCATCACTGAAAGTAGCGTGATACCTTGCAAATCTGAAGAATAAAATTTGAAGTTCAGGAAAATCAATAACAAGTCTTTTTGGAAAGGCATTGAGCTGAGAAAATGCTTAAAGAAGAAACCACAGTTTGGTTTTACAACAGATTTCTTTTCCTCAATTCTTTTCTTACTTGTTTATTTTTATTTTTTAATTTCAGAATATTCCAGGGGTACAAAAGCTTTGGTTTTTTTTTTAATTATATTTTCTTAATGAAAAATAATAATTGTACATATTCATGGAGTACATAGTAATGTTTCAACACATATAATGTATGGTGATCAGATCAGGGTAATTAACATATCCATCTTCTCAAATACTTGTCACATCTTTGTGTTGGAAATATTCAATATCCTCCTCCTAGCTACTTGAAACTATGTAATATAGTTAACTGTCCTTATACTGTAGCGGTTTAGAACACTGGAACTTGTTCTTCCTATCTAGTTGTAATATTGTATCCTTTAACAAATTTCTCCCTCTCCCTTCTCACTATGTTTCCCAGCCACTAGTATCCTCTGTTCTACTTTTTAATTCTATGAGATCAGCCTTTTTTTTTTTTTTTAGCTTCCACATATGAGTCAGAACCTGTGTGCTTAACTTTCTCTTCCTGGCTTGTTTCACTTAACATAACATTCTCCAGTTCCATTGACATTGCTGCAAATGATGGAGTTTCATTCTTTTTTATGGCTGGGTAGTATTCCATAATGTAAACATACCACATTTTCTTTATCTATTCATCTGTTGTTGGATACTTGGGTTGATTCCATATCTTGGCTATTTTGAATAGTGCTGCAATGAACATGGGGGTGCAGATATTTTTTTGATATACTGATTTCCTTTCCTTTGAATAAATTCCCAGTAGTGGAATTGCTGAATCATGTGGTAGTTCTATTTTTAGTTTTTTGAGACCCTGAATAACCAGAGAGATCTTGAGCAAAAGAACAAAGTTGGAGATATCACACTACCAGACCTCAAAATATATTATTGTACAAAGGTGTAGCAACCAAAGCAGCAAGGTACTGCTATAAAAACAGACACATAGACCAGTGGAACAGAATACAGAACCCAGAAATTAATCCACATGTCTACAGACAACTGATTTTTGAAAAAGGTGCCAAGAACACTCATTGGGGAAAGGACAGTATCCTCAACAAATGGTGCTGGGAAACTAGATATACATATGCAGAAAAATGAAAGTAGACCCCCACCTCTCACCCTATACAAAAATCAACTTAAAATGGACTAAAGACCTAAATGTAAGACCCAGAATAATAAAACTAATGGAAAAAAACACAGGAGAAATGCTTCAGGACATTGGTATTGGGTAAGATTTTATGAATGAGACTTCAAAGCAAAAATAAACAAATGAGATTATATCAAATTCAAAAGCTTGTATACAGTAAAGGAAACAAGCAACAATCTAAAGAATGGGAGAAAATATTTGCAAACTACTCATCTGACAGGAGATTAATATTCAGAATATATAAGGAACTGAAACATCTCAATAGCAAAAAAATAATCCATTTAAAAAATAGGCAAATGGTCTGAACAGACATTTCTCAAAAGAAGACATACAAATGACTGACAAATATAAGCAACAATGTTCAGCATTAATAATCATCAGGGAAATGCAAATCGAAAGCACAATGAGGTGTCATCTCATCCCAATTAGGATGGCTGTTATCAAAAAGACAATAACAAATGCAGGCAAAGACGTGGAGAAAAGGGAACTCTTCTACACTGTTGGTGAGAATGCAAACTTATACAGCCTCAGTTCTTTTTATAAATTATTTACCAAATAAGCATTCTGTATATATCAGAATGGTAATATTTATTAATGCCTACTATGTGCAAAAGGAAGATTTTGAAATTTGGCATAAAAACTTATACCAGTGATACATTAATATTTAGTTTCTTTTAAAGAATTCTTTGGAAAATTTAAAAAAATTAATTGACAATGTGTTCATATTAGAACAGGAAAATCAGATCATATTTTGATTTCCATTTTATTTTGAGAACATATGTATATTTAATTTAACACCATTAGTGATCTCCTTGCTGCCATCCTTGACTTCTTACATTTTCTTCTCTACTCAACAGCCTGAATGATTCTTTTAAAATATAAAAATATTCCCTAATGTTTTTCTATATCACTGAAAATAAAAACCCAAATCCCCACCATGACCTAGTCCTACAAAGCCCTATGTGATCTGCCCCTGCCTACCTCTCTTATTTCCTACCACTTTCTTTCCCCTAATACTCTAGCTACATTGGGCTTCTTGCTCTTCCTTAAGCACATCATGCTTATTCCTGCCTCTTTCCTCATCCCCAGCATATCTGCCGATTTCTACTGTGTCTTCCTGCAGCAGACCTTCAGTCTACCTTCATCATCTTCACTATCTTTTGCATAAGGTTGTTTTTATGGCTCTATTATGTATTTTTTGAGGTCCAGAATAGACCACTCTGCATTTCAGATACATACAAAACCTGTTTTTAATAATCTTTCCTCATTTATTTTCAGCAAATCTCCTGATGAATCTTAGCTTTTTTTTGGGTTTCGGAGCATGGAGGTGGATGGATTCATTCTTTTAACACATACCGCCTACGTACATAATAAGGAACACACAAAAGGTGTTCAGATGATATTTACTGATTTAACACACTTAATCCTTGATGGTTCCCTTCTTGAAATTGTCTCCTTCCTGTTTCCCCATCCTTACTGCTGATTATTTGACTTCTCTAGCTTGCTCTTGCTTCTGCCTGACCAACACTGGGTCTCCCCCTATGGTCCTATGTGGTATGGCCAGCCCCCTTTTCTCCAGAAATGTAAGTAAATGAAAATTCTTTCAATGGCATGGACCTCTCTATGTTGTCACTCAGTCACCTCCAAAAATTAAAGTTCCATGAGTATAGTTTTAATAATCATAAAATTAATAATACAAAATAGCACAAACTAATTGAGCATTTGTTATGCACTAGAGCAGGGGTCCTCAAACTTTTTAAACAGGGGGCCAGTTCACTGTCCCTCAGACTGTTGGAGGGCCGGACTATAGTTTTAAAAAAAAAACTATGAACAAATTCCTATGCACACTGCACATATCTTATTTTGAAATAAAAAAACAAATGGGCAAAAACACCAGCATGTAGCCTGCGGGCCGCAGTTTGAGGATGCCTGCACTAGATGCTAGTACAAACTGTACATGTATTTTCCTATTTAATGATCAAAAAAACTCTCTGAGTTGGTGCTAATGTTGTCCCATTTTAATATAAGGAAAATGAGGCACAAGTACTTAAGTAAATTTAATTATATCACACAGATAGTAAGTGGTGAAGTCAGGATTCAAATCATAGTTGTCTTGATCCAGAGTTCTATTCAAGGCAAAGAAAGCATGTATTGCATTTCAAGGATTCCCTCTCTCCCAAGTCTCCCTTATTAGTGTTTTATATTAACAGATTCCTGATTGTTTCTTTTGGCCTGGGAAAATGGAGTTGAATTTTATGACATAATACATAATCTGCTGCTTGTCCACTCCATCAAAATCTGAGGCTAAAGAAGTGAATCGTAGCCCGAGAACATGAAGGACGGGGACAGATGAAGCTGCCATCATAATCCTGCAACTTGATTTCTTTCCTCTAAGGTAAGTGAGTAGAATGTTCCAAGGAAGCACAAGCAAGAAAACAATAATTAGCATTGTCTTAAGATAGCTGAAGTCTATTTTCAAGGTGGTAAACATGGACTCTAAGCCACCTCTACATTCCAAGTCTGACCTGCTGACTCCAAAAGACAGAGGCAAAATTATATTTTTTAAAAATCCTAAAACATACCTGCGTTGAGATTGCAAACCATAAACTTCATGATTAAATCGAGCATTTAATTTCTTTTCTGCCCATCTGTTCATCAGGAATGCAGGGTAAAATTTGTTGACGATGGAGTTAAAACGAGTAAAGAGGACAGTGTCCATGGGCATCCCATTATCCCAGACCCGATTCCAAATCCATGCACCCTGTCTTGTGCTGAGAAACACCTAGGAGAGAATGCAAATACATTAGAAATAACTGCCTTGCAATATATTTCCTTTCATAGGATGCTTTTCTCGGCTTTTCAGATATCTCTTATTTGGCTCGGAAGGAGAAATGGATAAAAACTCTCCTTTTCAGCCTGAAGTGTTCCTTCTTCTCAAATTCAGGTAGACTGACAGATACAGTCACAATAGACACACACACTCACACATACAGATACATTACACACATTGCATATAGGTCCAGAGATCTACTCAAGCCTCCCTCTGGATCTTGCTGATCTTTGAACATTCTCCAAAGCAGTGTTTGATGTCTACAATCTTTTAAGTTTCAAATTCTGAAAAACCAAAATAATGCAAGAAGACTAGACATCAATGAATTGACAAATAAAATCCCATCCATCTGCTAATTATAGAAGTACAGTATCTAGAACACTTCATTAATTGTATCCCTAGAATCTAAATATAGGAAGGGTCAGAGCTGGGAGATGGTGTCAAGTGTCATGTCAATGAAAAATCAATAAATTAAAAAATGGTTTTCGGGTATGTTCATTTTTTAAACCCTTGGCCGAGCTGATGAAACTGCACTCTGGTACATTGAAACAATATGGCAGTCACTAAAGTTTGGAGTCTTTATTTTTATTCCATTTTCAATTTTTTGTATTTTGTGTATTACCAAGATGTCTACCAAGAAAACAGTGTGAAGAGGTAATTAACAATCAGGATTATGTGTGTGAGCGTTGGGGAACATGTTACAGGCATTGCATGCAATGCTCACATCCTACTGCGGTGGAAGGTTTAACTGAGGGACAGAGAGTTTTAGGCGCCAAACCTGTGCAGTCACGTGACTGAGCTCAATTGCCAAATCAACTCCAGAATTTCCAATGCCGACCACCATGATTTTCTTGTCTCGAAACTTCTCTGGGCTCTTGTATTCCCAACTGTGGATGTATTGGCCTTGGAACTTCTTGATCCCTGTGGACAAGAACAGAATTGCTCACGCCTTGGTCATTATTTTATTAAGTTTGTTTAGACAGCTGGCATATTCTAAAGCTTACTACTGGACTCAAAGGCCATCTTATTTAAACATCTTATTTGCCGGTCTATCGATGCCACTTCCGTGAAGTGTGCCTGGCCAACGTCACCAGGCAGAATGAAACCTCTTATAGATTTGTTCTAGGCTGTAAATTCCGTGTCCAAATAAACCCCAGCCTTCTGAGAAACTCGGATATCTCATTTCTGTCTCCTTTTTACTTATCTATATCCTGCCAAGCTTTCAAGGCACAGAGCTCAGCTCTTATTTAAGTAATGCATCTTCCTCATCCGTCATCCGTGTTATTTACAACTACTGCTCTGGATCCAATTCCCTGTCTTATTTTTCCCTAGCCGAGCTTCATTTTGTCTAGCTGTTTCTTTTGCTTCCTGGGCCCAGGACAGCCTTCCTGCCAGCACTCTCACTCTGTTCTCCTGAGAACGTTTCTCATAGCAATGGAAATGAGGGAAGTCCAGCATCTTCTGAGAACCCCCAAAGAGTCTAAGGTTTGGTCCTCTTCAAAAAGACTGAGCACACATCCCAGCTACCTGGTGTAGGTAAATCATTCCTGCACCATTCCTTAAGCTTCCAAATAGTAAACAATAGCCTCACAGTCTATTTTAAGATGTGTGGTGACACTAGTACTTAGCTATCTATATTTGTCATGCTCCATACATGCACATTCAGAAATAAAGCCAAATCTTAAAATATTTTCTGTACTTTGATATTCCTATTTACTCCAAACTATTATCAAGACCAAACAACCTTCCAATTGTGGTAAAATGTAAGACTTTGCTCTTAAAATAGCCTAGAAGTGGTGGTGGTGGTATCTTAGTAATTATTATTTTCAATTTTATAACATTATGTATTATCTGAATGGACATTCAAAGAGCCTGCATTACTTTACAATCGGAAAAGGTAATATTTATAGTTAAAATAAGATGATTTTCAGGGTTATAAACTTGTTTTCAAAAATAACAACGGCAACAATGATAAAGCCCCACAAAACCTGTGCCTTATGAATGACATACCTGGAAAGTCCTGGAGGGGCAAGGAGGGATGGGTATAAAGGCCACTGCACACCATCACTCCATCAAAGACATGGGATTCCTGCTTCCCTTCTGCCTCGACCACGACGTCCCACTGCCCCGTGCAGGAGAAGTCAGAGCGCTTCTTCACACTGCACACCTTAGACTGGGAAGGAGACAAACTCAGACTCATGACCACTCTGCGCAGTTGCCCTCCTTTCCAAGAACTCCCGGCCTTGGATGAATTAGGTTGCTTATAGCTACTTTCTTCTGGGATTTCATGAAAGCGTCCCTTTAGAATGGGTTTCCCTCCCGAGGCCTCTTTAAGTGGAGCCAGAGTCTGGTTTGTTCCCAGCTGTGGGGTGAATCAACCTCAGGTGTCTGATATGGTTTGGGTGTTTGGCCCCTCCAAATCTCCTACTGACATTTGGTCCCCAGTGTTGGGTGTGGGGCCTGGTCGGGGTGTCTGGGCCACGGGGGCAGATCCTTCAAGAATAGCTTGATGATGTCTTCCCCTCAATGATAAGTGAGTTCTCACTTTATTAGTCCATACAAGAGCTGGTCGTTTAAAGAAGCCAGGCACCACCTCCCACCTCTCTTGCTCCTCCTCTAGCCATGTGACACGCCTGCTCCCCTTTGCCTTCCACCTTGATTGGAGGCTCCATGAAGCACACACCAGAAGCACCCACTGGGGCCATGCTTCTTGTGCAGCCTGCAGAACCATGAGCCGCAGAAACCTCTTTTATTTATATTAATGAATTACTCACCCTCAGGTTATTTCCATTATGGCAATGCAAATCAGACCACACAGGGTCCAATCTGTCATTTCAGCCAACCCACCCTGCTTTTTTTCTTGAAAGAAGTGAGCAAAAAAGCTCTTGCCGACTGCACTGGAGTTGAATGTAGAGTGAACCCCGTGGTGTTGGGGTCAGCCCAGGCTGAATGGGAGCCTCACTGCACCGCGCTCTGCCTGGCCCTCTACTCTGCCCAGAGGTTCCACAGGTGCCGAGTGGCCTCTGCCCCACCTACCAGAAACCGAATGTGCTTCATAAGGTGGAAGTGTTTGGCGTACATCTGGACGTATTCCATGATTTTGGAATTGTGCAAGTAGTTGGGGAGATGGTCAGGGAAAGGGAAATCACTATAGGATGTCATCTCCTTTGAAGTGTTGGTGGTGGCAGATTTATATATACTTGACCTGCCACTTTCAGTCATCTCCTACAACAACAACAAAAAGAACACTTACTGCCTTTAAAATATAGGAATAATGGTTAAAAAAGAAATCTCTTTATATATCATTAAATTATGGGGCTCCTGGGCTGGATTCTTTCAAAGAAAGTCAATTTCCCATTGCTTTCACAAAGAGATAAGATACTATTTCTCTTTTTCTCATTAAAAAGAGAAAAAAAAACCAATTTGTTGGGGAACAGACAGAGGGACACGAAAAGACCATGCATGGAAAGAATATAAAGAGGAAAACGTATGTAGAACACCAGAGGGCGAAAATAAGCAGAGGAAGATGAGGGCAGCCCCTCTGCCCGCAGAGCTTGACAAGGGCTGGCCCTGACAGGAGTGTCCTGGGCAGAGGACACCGGGAGGTCCCGGGCTGTGTGTAGTGACTGAGAGAAAAGAATAGAGATCATAATTAGATTGGATTTTCTTTTTCCTCTTCTTTTTTTTTTTTAATTAGCATTTTTTTCTGATTATAAGAGCGGCACATATATATTACAATTTTATAAGAAATTGTGAAAAAATATCATTAATGATGATTACTTTCAGTATTTTGACATATACCCTTCTGGCCTTAATCTCCCAATCTTCCAGGCTCTATGTATGTTACCTATTTATCTGTATACATGCACATAGGTATGTGGTGTTCTATCACATTACAGTACTTTATAATTTTAGAGTTTTTCATATACATTTCCTGATTTAGTCTTGTGAAGTATGTTATTATTTTAATTTTCCATGTTATAATAGCAGTCCATCCAATATACAGTATCTGTTATGTGTGTTAGTGGGTATTCTTGATTTTTAAAAAATTAAGCCTAGATATTGAAGTAATCAAAGGTTAAGGAAAAACACACCATCACTAAAAGTATGTTGTTTTCTCCCAGAAGAATTTATTATCCTCCCCAATACATTATTTTAATAGATGTACACGTAAAACACAATTTTGGGAATTTTAATAATTTTTTTCTATATCTTAGATGTAATATTGGTGAAGTCAAGGATCAGTAATGCATGTACTATGACTGTTCTAAACTTTAAGCCAAAAAATATGGAATCTAATTCCTGTTAAAGTATATCAGCTTTAAGAACAAATCACAGCATGCATTTTCTTCTTCAAAGTGGAGAGGATTTTTTAAAATAAAACCCATTGCACTGATGTAGCTGCACACAAAACTACCTCTTCTGATAACAATAATCTGTAAATATAAAAAGTATTTTTTTATAAGTGATAGCTTAAAATATGAGCATCAGTGAAATCAGTCTACATGATGGGGTATTTTGTAATATTTTGATGTGACCCTTGAGATATATCATTGCACAGCTTGAAAAAGGAACCTGATATCAAATCATTTCTTTGAGTCTATTTCTTCATCTGTACGTAAGTCCTTGCCCACCTCACAAGGTTGCTGTGAAGACCAAATAATTCACATAAAATGCTTTAAAAATCGTCCATAGGAGATCAACAATCACCTGCATTGTGACAGAAGTACTACCGTGTTTAGCTGAAAATAAGACAGGGTTTATTTATTTTTCCTCAAGAAGACACCCTAGGGCTTATTTTCAGGGGATGTGTTTTTTTTTTTTAAGTACAGTACAACAATCTACATTTATTCAAATAGAGTTAAGTCGTCTTCTTCTGGAACATCATCATAACTCTCCAAACCCTGAATTCCATCCTGAATTTCTTGTGACTCTATTTCCTTTAGAACCACTGGCCCCAATCTCTCATGTCAAGCAATAGAGCTCTCATGGGGCAGATGAGAAGGGCTGCTTGTCTTCTTTCCCACTCCCTGATGAAATGCATGGGTTATACAGATACTGCTGCGTAGCCACGTCCATCACTAGGTCTTGTTTCCAAGAACATGGAAACTACTCTTAACTCTTAACTTGAGACTGGGAATATAATGCAGGGAATTAGTCACACAGACAATGAAAGATCTGAAAAGTCAACAAGGAGTTGGCGAGGCATCCCAGAGATTAGCAAAATCAGCACCTGCTCCACCTCTAGGTCAGCCCTGGGCAGTTACCAGTTAGTAGGCTTCCACCTTCTCTCTTCTCCCCCTCCATGAACCCTGGCAGCCCACGGGTCCAGGAGGTATAACTTTAAGCTGGAGAAGGGCCATTTCGTCACATTCGACATGATCCAGGCCAGAAACAACTGTTACTGTGCTGAGCCCTTGAGATTTCAGTTTGAATGTGAGACAGTCAGTGTTAGTTGCCCATGCGTGTGTGTGCGTGTGTGTGCGTGTGTGTGTGTGTGTGTGTGTAGTTACACTGAAGATAAAGACCTAAAGATCAAGTATTAACATATATGTGGCAGCTGAAGCCAAAGGAGTATAAGGAGGTAACCTAAGGAACTTGCAAAAAGTTAAAAGACCAGAAAACTGAGAATAAAGCCATAAGCAGGCACATTTAGAGGCCAGGTAGAAAAAGATTGAAAAGGAAAAGCAGAAAAAAAAAGACAGTGAAATTACAGAAGCCAGGAACAAGGGTTTTATGAAGGAATTGTGATTTAACATTTTTAAATCCCCTTGATAAAGCAAGAAAATTTAGGACAGAAAGTCCATTCTATTTGACGACATTGGTGACACCAATGAGAACAGTTTTCTGGAAGCGCTGGCTGGGGATGGCCCTCATGTAGCAGTGGTTGAACCAAGGCGGGAGGGGAGAAAGCGTAGAGAACGAGCATATTTTCCTCCTTCTGAAAGCTTCTCTCTGAAAGGAAGGAGGATTGACCGAACATCTCCTTGGGGAGAAGGAGAGATTGGGATCCAACACACAGGTATGGGCATTAACAAAAATAATTACCATTACGCTGGTAATTGAAGGATAAAATAGTGCTGTAGTCCTTGCATTCCTATTTCTCAGATATGGAAAAAAAAATATCACCCTACATACAAAAGCATAAGACTATTCAAACTTACCTCATATCTCCACAGTCCTCCGATGTCATTGCTTCTTTCAAAACAGGTGGGCTCCAGTCCCTCTTCCAGACAGCTCTTAATGGCACCTAAGCCACTGACCCCAGCGCCAATCACCGCAATTCTTTTCCCGGGCATTGCACCTGGTGTGAGGACGAGTTAATACAAAATCAGATTTTCATTGCCATGTGTTGTTTTCCTATAATCCAAGAGCATTCCTTTTTTTTTTTTCCCTAAAATTGCTAGTTAATGCTTTTAAGGACTCTGTTACTCAAAGCTTTTATGCCTTTCAAAGGTTCTTAGAGTGACAGAAAATCCTACCTTACACAATGATTTCTTATTTTTGAGTATTAAGTAGATTTTTTAAAATAAAGGTTTTGACTCTTACAATGTTTCTGGCCATACGACTTAATTTTTACATTTCTCTTTTGATAGCTTCCTTCTACCTGATACATTCATACACACGCACACACACCTGAAAAACTTCTCATTATGCAGCTTTTGCCTAATCTGACTTTTGATTCCTTCTGCTACTACTATCTGCTTGTTGAGATAAGTAATAAGCTAGATGATGATAATCACTAAGGAGAAAAAAAACGAAGCAGGGTGGAGGTTATAGGAAATATCAGAGGGAGACTGTTATTTTATATAATATGATCAGGAAAGGGTTTGCTGATGATATTTAAGCAGGAAGTAAGGACCAAGCCATGTAGACATCTGAAAGAGAATTCCAAGCAGAGTCTCTGGGGCAGGTACGTGCTGGGCTTTTTTTGCAGAATAACAAGGGGAGCTTTGCGAGCAGGCATGAAAAGGGTATAAAGGATACAGTATGGGGTCAGAGAGGCAGAATCAGGTATTAGTATCAGAGTCAGATCAGGCAGATGGAGCCATTCAATGGACAGAGCAAAGAAAATAGGTAAACTACATTATATCAACAGGTATTCAGAAATGCCACTTACCTGGAAATGTCTCTGAGGACCCTACTTCTCTCCTAATCCTATCCACTCCACAAGCGTATGTTCCACCTGCCACTGCTCAGCTGAACCAGAAGGTAATAAGATATGTGGTCTTCTTAATTTATCAGCTAGTGACTGCCTCCCTGTATCTTTGCTCTCTACCTGGGACTGAGAGAAACAGAACAGAATTCTGTACTGCATTTTAACAAGTTTATGTTATAATGGATTGCAGCACCTATTACAAAATGAGACTACTTTTAGATCCAGAGTTCCTGGGTAAGTTTCTTTAATTTAGGGCTTTTAAGCACAACCCTGTACCACTGATATATTGCTACTACTTGAAAATGTATTCAGAGACTAATAAGCAACGAATTTACCTAATACAACAGCAAATACCTAAGTAATCCCTCCTGAATACCCTGCTAATGGGGAGGACTTCCAAATGCTTAGCAGCATTGTAAGGTCAGCCAACGCTCTGAACCACACAATAGCAAAATAAGTCCATGTTAATGAGGAAAATGAAATCACAGAAATACATGGATAAAGAATATTGCATTAATAAATTTGAAAAATAGACCCATATACTCAATGTTCATTTTAAAATGCCAAGGTTATTACAGTTCCATTTGGATATGGATTTGTTTGAAAAATCAGCTTTTGAATATCAAAAATATTTAGTCTAATGCTTTTCTCCGGGGCATTTAATTTTCTTGGCTGTTGAAGTAAAAAAGCTATTAACACATACAATTCACGTTTTTATAATATAGGTGTGTCCTTGATCACTGTTATCCTCTTCTCCTCCAGCCATTCCCCTTAATCTCTGGTTCCCAGCAAGTCTGTCCATTTATCCCCTCATCTGCAACAAACCCAAATGAAACCACAGCGCCCAAATCCCCCTCCATTTTTGTCGCAGACTCGGTCCCCAGCCTGTCTTCCGCCCCACTGGAAATGCTAATTAGTTGCTCTTTTGATGAATTCTTGCTCTATTTTTCCTTCCCTTGTGAATATTCCGTATTAATTAGTTAGCCTTTCTCTTCTGCTTGCATATATGAAACCAAGGGTGTTTCTCTAATCGTGCAATTATATGGCATAAAATGAAAATTTAAAAATTCCATTAAGCCCCAGAACCTTTGAGGAGATAAAGCTCACAAAACTAACCTGAATCAGTAGGAAAAAAAAAAATCAAATATGCTCTAGAAGTCTCCAGGCACTGAAGTAAAGAAACAGGCTCTAGAATGCTGAGCACCCAAAGGAGAGTACTTGTTTCTTCTTTGCTCCGTCCTGTGATGAAGTAGCCCACTAAGGGGAGTTTTATGTGATGGCTAATTTGCAAAAACTCCTCCCCAAGTCTTTTTCCTTGCCATTTGGCTTTTCAGTTGGGGGTTCAGGAAAAGAAACTGGCATGCTGTCAAATTTTTCTAAGCATAGTAATTGTTTTGGTCTCACAAAGTCTAATTAAATCCCAGGTATAAAGAAGCCCAAAAGGAACTTCATTAAGATAGTGATAGGAATTGAGCTATAGTGAAACTTGGAAAGTATGGGAAAACATTTTAGCTTCTAGGATGATAAATAGTAAATATACACGCATTTCAATTTATAAAATTTTGTCATCAATGCTAGACGAGGAAATGAGAGAGGGTGAGCAAAAAATCCTTATACAAGTTTTTGTATATTTCTGACTGTTTCTTTATTTTATTTTATTTTTTTTGGGACAGAGTCTCACTTTGTTGTCCAGGCTAGAGTGAGTGCCGTGGCGTCAGCCTAGCTCACAGCAACCTCAAACTCCTGGGCTCAAGCGATCCTCCTGCCTCAGCCTCCCGAGTAGCTGGGACTACAGGCATGCGCCACCATGCCCGGCTAATTTTTTATATATATATCAGTTGGCCAACTAATTTCTATTTATAGTAGAGACGGGGTCTCGCTCTTGCTCAGGCTGGTTTTGAACTCCTGACCTTGAGCAATCCGCCCGCCTCGGCCTCCCAAGAGCTAGGATTACAGGCGTGAGCCACAGCGCCCGGCCTCTGACTGTTTCTTTATGGTAAATACTACAAAAGCAATGGCTGAGATGGAAGGCATTTGAAGAACAATTTTTCAGATCTTCAATACACCATCCTTAGAAAGAGTAAGTCAATATATCAAAGTAAACAAAATGGTGCACAGGTATCTCTCCACTCACCGTTTCCTCCATGGGGGCAAGGTCCATATCTGTTCCCTTCACCACGTTATCCTCAGAGCACTTGACACATGAAAGGCAATGCAATTAATGTTGATTGATTGGATATATGCATGTATGAATAAAGATGTAAGAACCCTTCCTGAAAAGCAGCCATCACATTGATATACTGTTCTTGGGAATATAAACTGGTGTTGCATTTTAGAAGTGCAATTTGGCATGATCTCTCACATTTCTAAGGTACACACTGTTTGACCTACAAACTCCCCTTCCATCAATTTTTCCTGTAGATAAAAGCCTACAAATTTGCAAAGATGTAAACATGGACATTTATTGCAGCATTATTTGCAATTGAAAAATTCCGAAAACCATATAAATATTTAAATAAATTATGGTATATTCACATGATGGAATAGTATATACTCATTCTAAAAATAGATCTTCATGGAAAGATATTTGAAATCTTTTTTCAAACTTAAACGGCAAAATTATTAAAGAATACATTTGGGGTAAAAAAATAAAAATTAAAAGAAACTGTCAAGGGAGCAGACAACCCACAGAATGGGAGAAAATTTTCAAAAGCTACACATCTGATAAAGGGCTGATAACTAGAATCTATTTAGAACTCAGGAAAATCAGCAAGAAAAAAATCAAACAACCCTATCAAAAATGGGCGAAGGACATGAACAGAAACTTCTCAAAAGAATAATGGCCAATAAACATATGAAAAAATGCTCAACATCTCTAATCTCCAGGGAAATGCAAATCAAAACCACAATGAGATAGATATTACTTAACTCCAGTGAGAATGGCCTTTATCAAAAAGTCCCCAAACAATAAATGTTGGCGTGGATGCAGAGAGAGAGGGACACTCCTATACTGCTGGTGGGACTGCAAACTAGTTCAGCCTCTGTGGAAAGCAATATGGAGATACCTTAAAGTGATACAAGTAGATCTACCATTTGATCCAGCAATTCCACTACTGGGCATCTACCCAAAAGATCAAAAGTCCCTTTATGAAAAATACACCTGCACTTGAATGTTTATAGCAGCACAATTCACAATTGTGAAGTTGTGGGAACAACCCAAGTGCCCATCAGTACATGAGTGGATTAATAAAATGTGGTATATGTATACTATGGAGTACTACTCAGCTTTAAAAAACAATGGTGATATAGCACCTCTTGTAGTTTCCTGGATAGCGCTGGAACCCATTCTACTAAGTGAAATATCTCAAGAATGGAAAAATTAGCACCACATGTACTCACCAGCAAATTGGCATTAACGGATCAACACCTCAGTGGACATATAGGAATAACATTTATCCGGTGTCAGCCAGGTGGGAGGGGGGAGAAGGGGATGGGTATATACAAACACAATGAGTGAGATGTACAACGATTGGGGGATGGTCACACTTGAGGCTCTGACTCGAGGGGCAGGGGGGGCATGGGCAATATACATAACCTTAACACTTGTACCCCCATAATATGCTATAATAAAAAAGTAAATAAATTTTTATTATAATAAAGAATGTTTAAAGATACTCTTTTTTTCATTTTTCGCTAATTACACTAGCAAATATTAGTTTATATTAGGAAATATTCTATTTTCTCATTAATCTGTGATTCTTGGAATACCAGTGAGTCTAAACTCTTTTTATATATTTTTAATCCATTTGTATTTCTTCTTTGGTGAATTTGATAAATATTATATCTGCATTTTTATTTTTATCTAAAGAATTCTTTTCTTATTATAAATAGAAACCGTATTTCCTCTCATATATTTTTCAAAAATTTTCTCCCATTTTGTCATTACCTTTTAGAAATTACATAGATTTTTCTTCCATTTTTATGAAGTTAAAATATAATTTACTTTATAGTTACTACTGTGATGTACTCATGGTCTTCTCTATCTCAAGATTATAAAATTATTCATCTATATTAGTTCTTCTTCTTATGGCTTTATGTTTTTATTTAACTCTTTGATATTTTCAGATTTTGATTTTTCCA